CGAGAATGATGGAATAGAACAAGAATTGCTCATGTCTTACCCGCGATAAACAAAGAATGTTCATCTGAGCTAGTTATCTGATTTGGGTAAATTATGATAAGGAAGCTTATCTCAGTTATTGAAATTTTTTATTTGCAAGTAACTTATTATTTTTGGTTATTTCTTAACGACGTGCTGACTTTGACATGGCTTAAGATAAAAAAATATACATTCTGCAATTTATTTCATTTAATGGCAACGGTCTGCAAATTTTAAACTTTCGATAAATGATTCGATACATGCAAATTTGCAAAAATTGCATCACTAGATTCAGGTAAAAGCGGGAAATTGTGCATAGCTTCAAAAGACTTCCGCCAAGTTCATTGTATACTTCAGATAAAATGTGTGATATTGGAAATCTAATTGATTTAACGGGCTGGGATGAGCCTGTTAAGGATGAGGAGGTCGTAGAAGATACACCAATTCAATCAAACAGCTTCAAAGGACCATACGACCCATTCGATTCAGTGGAAAAAGAAGCCTGCATCAAGGTGTGTATGCACATGCACACAGACACTCTCTCTCACACACACAGAGAGATTTATAACAGGATGACAAGCCATTTTTATTATTTCTTATTTCTTTTATACAGGGCGAACACTTTAAGAATGATACACAAAACACACCAACTACACCAGCTGAAGGCCAGCTCGTCAACAATGAGTCTTCGCCATTAACCACAGAATCTGAGCCGAGCAATTCAGATATCATTAGTAGCTCTACAGTTAGCAATGAATCGCGTCACCGCAGTCTACAGCAGCTTGCCAAGCTGAATGCAACCAGGCTATCAAATATGAACACACCACCGAGTAATCAGTTGGTGAATGTTGGCACAAGTGGAAATAGCTCGTATTTTAACAGCTGCTTTCTGACCGAGAATCTGCAAATGATTGCCGCTGAGTCGCCAGTGAAGCTCATAGAAGATGAGCCCAATCCAATTCCAACCACGATGCCATCTGTCGATCTGCCTGACTATACCTGTTCCAATACAGAGTTCGAAGTACGCCTAAAGCAGATGCGCATCGCCATGTTGGGCTCGCCAGCTAAATCCGCTGCACCTGACCCTCTCGCAGCACAGACAACTCAAAATTCTCACAATACTCCAGCACAGATTGAAGCGCTGTGGCAAGAGCTGAAATTTCTGGTTTATGCACACGTTGAGCCCTCCAAGAGGGAGCAGTTCAATGCGGTAATTGAATCGCTACGCACAGCCTTCCAATGCAATCGCCCAACCCCAGAAGATGCCAGCCAGGTTGCTAAACAATCGCCAATCCAATATACACGTCAGGGAACCTTCGATTTAGATCTAGAGCAACAGGTATATCTAAGCTATCATCAATTGATGCACTGCATCCAATTTAATTTATTGTATTCCATGTAATCTATAGCGAATGAAAGCAGATGCTGCAGATCATTTGAAGGCAAATGGAAATATTCAAGAGTTTCCCGATGTGATGACGTGCTCGTCGGCCACATACGATGCGGAATCGGCTGATAAGCCAATGAGTCCGATTCGAGAAACTGAATTTCAGAAAAAACCCGATTCGTATGTGACCGAAGTGGTTAACGACAACAATCTAGCTCAACAAATCAATCAGCTACTGGAGCGACACAATCTAACCAAGCAGCAGGTCAATGACAATGAGCCACAGCATCACGAGTCGGAAACGAATCAGCACCCATCTGGCCAAACCGTTATCTTGGTGGTAAACTCCACGGCCGGCAGTCAATTGACCAACTGTATAGTGCATCCGTCCTCGGCCAGAGTGACCAATGCGGCGGCCAAAACTGAGAGAGATAACGCGCTGCGTAGACGCTCATCGTCGCTGTCCATTCACGACAAGGCCAAGCAGGAGCGACCGAAGTCGATAGTTAAGCAATCATCTGAAGAGGGCAACGAGAGCAATCTCGTGATGCCTCTGAAGGAACTGTCGACTGTGGGCGATAAATTTAATGCCATGTCGAGCTTTAGGCAGCGTCGCAACTCCTTTTCAATCGCTTCAATAGGCGGGGGCAAGGGGACTGCGCCAGCTCCCGCCGCCAGCCAGGCCAGAGGCCACTTGGTTGGCCGCACCAAGGTGACGGCCATAAACGAAACGGTTATGAAACTGAATGCCACCTCAAAGGCGAACAGCAAACCGGTTAAACGGGTTGTGCCCATGGTGAAGCCATCGCTGGAGCTGACTGATGTAACACACCTGAATTCAACGACGCCCCGCTGCAATGTCCAGGATACGCCTCTGACGACCAAAGCCAAGCAGGCCAGCAAATTATTCTGCACCAGCACACCGATGCCACAGGTGCGTCCGCTACAGCGCCGCTCCCTGAGGCCAGTGAGCAGCTATGCCAACACCTCCTGCGCCACCACCTCCACGCTGCGATCCGCCAACTACTCTAAGAAAGCTGCCCAATGAATTGGCAGCCAAATTGTGATGTCTCTCGATAGAAATGATTTTGTTTTCAAGCTTAGTATTAAGAATTAAGAATTAATATTTAGATTAAGAATCCGTCCGTTTCATTTTGTTTATATAATGTATGCAATTGGCAAAAAGAGGCATGGCCAAAACCAGACTAACTATAGCACTAGATACATTCGAGACGAGGAGACCTGAGCCATGTCCGTCTAACTTGATTCATTCCTACATATTCATAAGACAAACGCATAAAGAATAATGAAAACAATTTGTAACTCAAATTTTGACATTGAATGAGTGATTTTATTTGTTGTTATTGATCTTATTCTTCAAGATGCTGAGGTGTGTCAAGCAGTTGTCCCGGTATGCGCGTCGCTCCACCAGCTTGTCCAGGGGCACCATCTCGTTCAGCTGCTTGGCAATTTCGACGGCCGTGGGCCCCTCCATTTTGGGTGTCTCGCCCATGGTTTGGCTAACGGCATATATCGTTTTCGAGTAGCGCTCAAAGTAGTTCTCCATGCCCTCGGCGTTCAGATGCGCCGTCTCCAGCGGACCCAGGAAGGCGTAACGCATGCCCAGGCCATCGCTCATCACGCTATCAATATCTTTGACATTGAGAATGCCCGCCTCGACCAGACGCCACGTTTCGTTTAGAATCGCATACTGAATGCGATTAAGGGCGAAGCCCTCAATCTCGCGCGATAGTGTGACGGGCTTCTGGCCGATTTCGTCCATCAGATCGCGCGTCTTTTGCACCACCTCGGGCTTTGTCCACGGCGCCGGCACAATTTCCACCAGCGGCACGTAGTAGGGCGGATTGACTGGATGGGAGACAACAGTCTAGAGCAAATGGAAAAGGGAAATGGAAATAAATCAATCCAAGATAAGACCCAGAGATATGTGAAGATAACGTCACTCATCTACATCTATGTACATATATCTACAATCTCCGTTCGACTTACGTTCTGTTTGTGCTTCAGGTTGGCGGTGAACAGGGAGGGCAGGAATGTGCTGGTGGAACTGGATAGGATAGTGTTGTCCTCGACCACATCGTCGAGTTTCTTGAACAGCTCCTGCTTCCAGTCCAGCTTCTCTGGGATGCACTCCTGTATAAAGATGGCGCCCTTGACCAATTCCTTGATGTCATTGGTGCCCGAAATGCAGCTAAATTGTTGCGCCGCATTCAATTTGCCACGCAGCAAACCCTTCGCCTCCAGCTCCACCAGTTCCTTCTGTGTGGCCTTTAAGGCGCCCTGCACTTGCTCCGGCAGGATGTCATAGAGCATCACCTGGTAGCCCACCGAGGCGAACAGCATGGACCAAGAACGCCCAATCAAGCCGCTAGATCAGAGCAAATACATTTAAATTTAAAGCAAACATGCCTATGGACTCATATGTATGTATATCCTACCTGCCGACGATTCCTACTTTAGCCATTTTTTTCAAATCTGACATTTTGCTGCTCTACTTTAATTGTTTGTTCACTCTTAATTCTCTGTGCGCTGCCAGAAGGAACACGACTTCTACATTAGACGTACTGTAGGCGTTTGAACACTCTTAGTGGAGTACAACCGGTTTAATACCACTTATTCAGCGATAACAATAAAAGGTGAGCGCGACCTACATACACATGTGTGTATGTATGTACACGAAGTGTGATGTGTTGTGTTGTCTAATTGGGTGCTGGGGTGTTGCTGATTCCAGTGCAGATAATGGAATGGCTACCAACAACATAGCTATGTACATATGTATGTTCACACACACGCACACACACATATACGCATGCATATGTATGCATCTAGTTTTATTGCTGGCAACGCACGAAGAAAAAGAATCAGCTGTCGCAGAGCGCGCGCGAGAGAGAGAGAGAGACTGAGAGGAGTAAATCAAAACAATCATCCCGCTAGAAAAGTGGCTGCCAGCTTGGATTAATTGAATTTGTAAAATGTATGAATTTATATCATGCATGTATTCCGTGCATGTGTCGCGCATAACCGGTTACAGCCCGAATGATTTTCTATCAAAATTCCATATCAGAAGTGCGTATAGAATGCCATTGGATTTATACTGTTGCTCAATTCGCTACAGGGTGTTTGTGCTCTGATTAGCTTATTTCATAAATTTAGTCGAAATGCCCTTAATTTGACTTTTAATATTAATTCAAGTTTATAATGTTTACGGGGAGTAGGTCGTATCTATGGGACACAAATAATAATAACTACCGTCAGAGATAAAGATGAGTGTTTGAATTATAAAATGAATGTGCAAAGCTATTTATATTTGTATGTACATATGTATGTATGTACATATACATATGAGTGAATGCAGGTATGCATGTGTGTGCATATGCAGCCTCGCTTGCACATAGTCAATACAATTGCAGCAAATAGCACTTACCCTAATTAAGGATATTCCACACTATCTAAACACACACACATTCTATTTATAATAACTAACTGTAAGGCTAACCACATCTAGCCAATTGCAGGTGCACGATTACAAAATATGTACATATAAACAATAGTAAATAATTGCACTTTGATAATGTTGTATGTATATGAGAGGTGTCAGTGCCGACTCTTCGCATTTATTAATTCACATTCGAAGCAACGAAATTGTACATTTTCTGAATTGTGTTGTTCAATATCTTAGCCTTCAGATAAGTTGGTTTTATACAATATATGCACGCTTATGGATGTGTACGGGTGTGTGTATCTTTGTGGATGTGTGTGTGTTGGTGGATGTGTGTGTATATGTGTCAGCTGCCTCTCTCTGTGTGTGTGTGTGTGTGTGTATGTGTCATCTGTCTCTGTGTGTGTTTCTTTCTCACTACGTCTGTGTGTGTGTGTTTGTGTCCTCTGTCTCTGTCTGTGTGTGTGTGTGCGTGTTCTCTGTCTCTGTGTGTGTGTGGATGTGCGTGTTTATGTGTCCTCTGTCTGTGTATGTATGTGTATGTGAGTGTCGCTATTAGACTTAATTTGCTTGAGACATTGTGACAAAAGCGTATCACAGGACAACATCGACTTAAGTTTCTTGTGCAGGAGAGTATTCCAATTGGCAGATGCCGATGCTGATGGATTTGTCTATGGTACTTGAGGAACTCAATTATTTACTTAAGCCTGTCAGCAGTTGTCAAATATATGTATGAATATGTTTCTGCAAGTTGATTATGGATATTTTTGTTAAGTTTAAATGGCGATCATTTGCATACATACATAAATGTGTAGAAAGGCGTTTTAAATATACAAATATGCATGTACATGTACATATATATATATATATATATATCGTCAATCCTTTTGTCGAGTGTCTTTGAATGATCTTGTTGTATGTGTCTGTTTGTTGTCTTATACTTAAAGCGCCATTTTACGCCCCTCTATAGAGATTTCGACGGCACGACGACTCTCCTTCGAGCGTTTTGAATCCAAAAAGCGTTTCATGTGCTTCTCATAGCGATTAGGCTTGCGTTTTGAAGACTGCAGAGAAATACGTTTGTAAATTGAAAATAACAAATGTTTGTTAATTGTGGCTTACTGAAACTTCGCCTTCGACGGTTGACTTGGGGCGAATAACGTAATCTTTGTTGGAAGGCATTGGTACACGGGCGCGGGCCACCCAGCCGGGATCGCCGGGACGCAGCAGTTTATCCTCACTGGAAAAGGTCTGATTTAGCGATGGTGGATTGCTGCTTGATGCGGGCGCAGGCTCTGGGGTCTTATGACGATTGCGTGACATTTGCGCCAGATCGCGCTCCTGACGCTCCTCCTTGCTCATTGCTGAGAAATCACAGCTCAGATTGAAGATGGGACGGGCCCATTCCGATATCAAGCGGCCAGCCCGATCTCGATTTGTCTTTGTCTCTTGTGGATGTTTGTACAAATACATGACGGCTTTTCCGATGCCAGATTGCTTTAAATATGACTTATCTATGGTTGGGAACTGACGAAAGCGAGATATACATCAAGCAAGGAGGAGAAAGAGAGAGAGAGAGAGAGAGAGACACAGTTATATGTATTGCATGATGAAAAGTAATTACATTTATAATTACATCGGATAGCAGACGCAATATGCTTTCGCGTATTTGCAGACAGGGCAGACTTTTATTTGGCAACGGTGCTAGCCAATCCGTAAGTACGTTGAGTATGTTGTGCTCCAAGAAGGCCAATTGCAGATCCTTCTTAATCAGCTGAGACATCACTTGTTTGAGCATTGAAATCTTCTTAGTTGCCGGCTTGCCGGCCAAATTTAGCTGGCGATCATCGTCTGAGGCGTTCTTCATATTGATTATCAATTGATCGATCAGATCATCATTATCATTTATCAAATCGATATCGCGCTTGCGTCGTCGCACACGTTTCTCCTCCTTCTTGCGCATCAACATTGCATCAAAATCAGATATGAAGTTGCTGTTTCTAAATAGGTTCAAGATATATATATAAAATATACGCTGTCTATGTTTGGTTTCCTTACTCTGGCTCATTTGAAATGGGCGTGTTTTCATCATCCGAGCTTTCAATAATTTTAGCCTGTGACTTTTCAGCCATATTATCATCAGCGTCCTTCTTCCTGTCCTCATCCTCGTCCTCGTTGTCTGTGTCGGTGATTTTAGCCCGTTTCTTGTATAGCTTTGGTACATCATCTGTGTTAGGATGGACATGATGATATAATAACGATTCCAATATATGTACTTATAATAGATATTCAGCTTACCTTCAGAGTCGCTGGTGATAACACGTTTGCGATTCAGTGCATCCTGGGATGTGATCGAGTCGGCAGCACTATTTGAGCGCGAGCGTTGGTCAGACTTCCTTTTTGATTTGCTGCGACTGTGTGAGGAGTCCGCGCTTTTCGATCGACTGCGTGAGCGAACGGAGCCAGCACGTGAGTCCTTGGAGCCGCTGCGTGAGCGAGTGCCACTGCGCGAGCGTGTGCCACTGCGTGAGCGCCTGGAACCAGAGCCACTCCGGGATCGTCTGGACCCGCTGCGTGAACGTCTGGATCCACTGCGAGAACGAGATCCACTATGCGAACGCCTCGATCCACTACGCGAACGCCTCGATCCACTGCGTGAGCGCGCAGATCCACTACGTGAGCGGGCAGATCCACTACGTGATCGTCTGGATCCGCTACGTGAACGTCTTGATCCACTACGCGAGCGTCCAGATCCAGATCCACTGCGTGAGCGTCTAGATCCAGATCCACTGCGAGAACGTCTAGATCCAGATCCACTACGAGAACGTCTCGAGCCACTGCGAGAACGCCTTGATCCGCTACGTGAGCGCGCAGATCCGCTACGTGATCGTGCAGATCCGCTGCGTGAGCGCGCAGATCCGCTGCGTGAACGCTTGGATCCCGATCCACTACGGGAGCGTCTGGATCCACTACGAGAGCGTCTGGATCCACTACGAGAGCGTCTGGATCCACTTCGTGAGCGTGAGCGTCCCTCAGAGCCGCTACGTGAACGTTTCGATCCACTGCGTGAACGTCTAGAGCCGCTGCGAGAGCGAGTACCACTTCGCGAACGAGCAGATCCGCTGCGCGAGCGTCTAGATCCAGATCCACTGCGTGAGCGTTGAGATCCACTTCGAGAACGATGGGGCGACCCGCTGGCTGAGCGAGCGGAGCCAGATCGACTACGAGAGCGTCGAGAGCTGTCAATAGCACTACCGCTACGGCTGCGTGACTTTCGAGTGGCACTTGGTGAACGACTTCCTATTAGTGGAGCTTCCGGCTTTTCCTGCACTGGTTCGCTCGGAGGAGCACCGGCTGATTCCTCCACAGAACACGTTGAATCGACTTCATTGTCTTGAATTGTTTTTGGGTCCGTGGGCAAGGCCGCGACCACGTCCGTGACTTTGCCGCCGTCCGGCTCTTTGTTGAACGCTTCGCCTAGAACACAAAGTGTAGACGCATAAGCACGCTAACGCTGTTTATCCACCATTTTTTTGTACAATACCTTTTTCAGCCCCCATATCCATACTTGAAAGTTTTTAGAAAATTTGGTACATGTGATATTCAACAATTTAGCTTTCTAATATTGCGCGCTGATAATAATTTCCGAAAATAACACTAAGAATAATACTTATTAACTCTCTAAAAAAGATTATGAACATACACACATTTGTATGTACAATTCGATTAATTTTATGTTCAGATAGCTACTGAAACAAAATGAAACTGAAACGGCAAATGTTCGATATATTTCAACATGCACATGTACTTGAATCACTAGTTCGATACTTTGTTGCTGAACTGGATTCAGCTCAAATTTAATTATTGTTTATTCCATTTACATGGCATGCTATAAATATTATATCATTTATACAAAGTAAAATAAAATTAGAAAAATAAATGTAATAAATAGTTTTTTAGGCAATAAAAGATTGTTTTATTGATTTATATAAATGTATGAAATTCTCAACTTGTATTCGAAACAATTTTACATTTACTTAAAATTTCTTTAGTATTCGTAGAATTCGATTTACGTTATAGGGATAGTAATAACATACATATATCCTGATAGATTCCATAAAAGCAGTTGTAATCCTTAAATTTTTAGCACTAAGAAACTAAAACTCTACGTTGAAGAAATTGTTAGCCTAATATCGAGAGCGTTGATTGTTTAACGCGCAGAAATAAAGAACAAATAAGTCATATCCGCGTAGATGTATCAGCAATATTCCACTCAAATGATGAGTTTATGAATATTGCGTCATAAGCGCAAATGAATTGCGAGATCTAACACAGATATGGACCATTCACTATTTGCTTTAAGACTACGCTGGGGTCAGCGGCGACTGAGCATTTGGTACTCTAAGTCGCCGCTACTATCCTCATCCACCTCCCATTGCACAGGCTGAGGAATCTATGGTCTGCTGTATTCGTCCAATGCGTCTATTGGGCCTTAGACCACCTCCTCCTCCTCCGCCACCACCTCCTCCTCCACCACCGCCACCACCGCCCCAGCCACCATTGCGTCGGCCAGTGTTGCGGTTATTGCCATTGCCACCGTTGAAAGGAGCGAGTAGGGTCTGAACACTGCAGGATAACGCAATTGATTGCTTTAGAGCACATATGGTTTAAGTCTTCATAATGTACTTACAATTGCACCAAAATATACCAAAGTCCTACAAATATTTCGATAATACGTTCAAGATTCCAAGGACGCTTCTCCCACACTCGACCATCTGCAATCACAAAACAGTTTAAATAGTATTCAAATACAACCTATATATATATATATATATTTAGAAATACTTACTTCGGTCTATGTAAACCATGTTGCTATCGTCTCGACATTAATAATATTGTGTTTATCTATTATTTTATATAGTTTTGGAGACCATGACGTGTCTAAAGCTCAACAGCTAGAATGATATCGGCTAATCGATATTTATGAAATGTTATTAGAGGCATTCCTCAATATATGCGATAAACCTAATCGAAGTTATTAAATTATTTACAAAATTGCAAAAAACAATTGTTTTACAATAAATAATTGCATATAGATAAAATTAGCTTTTCAATTAAGTTATGAGTAAAAATATGTATTTTATTAGGGAGTATCCCTGGTTGTGAACTGTTTGTTGACATAATGCGATGAGTTGACTCTAGTGATATACTATCGATATGCTCGATAGTTCACCAGCTATAGTCAAGTGCGAAGAATTACAAGTTTGTAATTTAGCCACAACAAAACGGCAAAGACGCTAACGCTGGCGTCTGTTGCTGCACGTAAATAATTGCGATAATACAGCTGACAGAGTTAATATTCCCGCACAGGAAAACAGAAGAAAGCATCGTGGAGCTGACACTGGCCATAATCACGGTCAGCTGCTACCTGAGGCCAAGGTGAGTTCGACTAGACCGCAATTAGATGCATATTTACTACTAATCCATGTCTCTAACCGAGTTTGCAGCCACCAGAGCTCATCACAGACTAACAACGTCGTCATCTGACTTCTTAATCATTAGCCAAATCGACGAGTGCTGACAAATATGCGTAGAATATCAATCTGTTGTGATTAGTTATCGTTGACCTCCCACGCGCTTCTCAAAATACCCCGCAAGGGAGGGATATTGTCAGAATGAATGAGACATGGCAATGAATGAATAGTTTGGCATATGTATAGTGTTTTTGATTGCAGTAATATTATTGAATCATGTTCATATGTATATTTACAGACACATGATCAACATGCATATATTGAAAGCCGGCTAGATTGTCTCAGCAGTGCAAGATTTGACTTAACGCAACAACAGTAACTGCACATAACACACACACACATACACTCACACACACACACACATGTATGCCTGGCAGAGTATTCAGTCTTTGCCATATGGAATAGTATGAATTTGATTTATTTATTTAATTTTGTGGCATATAGTTTGACGAATTGTTAACAAACACTGGCTGCATGCCGCGCGTAAATATTTATTTCCAGTTAAGCAGCATGTACACATATAAATATATGCATATGTGCATGTGTGTGTGTGTATTTGTGTGTATTGAAACGGGTTTCACGTTGGACGTTATTCAAATTTGCACTTTGATTTTGCAACACAAATCATTTACACTTCAACTTGACCTTTGTGGCCATGCAAATATATGTATGTATGTACTCACGTCTATATTTGGTGTGTGTGCATGCATATGTATTCAAATTAATTCAAGTGTGCGTGCGGGTGTGTGTGTGTGCGCGCCTTCCATATGTGTATCGGTTACAGCTCGCTGCACGCTGTCGCTGCCTTTTTGGCAATCAAATCTTGTTGTTGTTATTATTGCTGTTGTTCTAGCTGCTGTTTTGTTCTAGTTGCTGCTCTGCGTAGACCGTAGACCGCTGCCGCATTGCCTGAGTTTGGTCAGTAATCGTCAAACAACGCGCGCGTACGCATTTTTCTAGCTCGATACGTTTTTTTTTTGTTGCTGTTTATTAGCTGACATCATTTGGCCATTGGTCAGACTTGCTCTTGCTCTCTCGCTCTCGCTCTTGCTCTCTCTCTATTTCTTTCTCTTCGGCGCTTGTGTGTGTGTGTGTTTTTGAGTGGGTGCCTTAATAATTTGTTTATCAAAGCTCCTGCTAACCAACGGTCTCTCTTTTCTTTTGCTTTTCGTTCTCTTTTTTGGGCTTACAGTCAGAGTACCGTTATGCCTGGCACGTCCTCAAAAGCTGCGATCGCGGGTTCTGCGTGAACTGGATCCGAGTACGTGTAACGTGTAACGTTTTACGTTTTATCGTGTAACGTGTAACGGGTATCAAGCACAATACTCGATACTTTAAGCTGCCATCTGGCTGGCCTTGCTCTTCAACTTCCTTTCCTTGCCGCCGCTCTGTCGCGCCCCCCCACTCTCGCTACCTGTCTCTCTCGACTCTCTCCCTCTCTATCGCTTTCCTTCGCTCACTGCTGTCCTCTGTGCCGCAACAATGTATTCAGCGGGTAAATAAATAACGATATATCCTGTACATACATACATACGTGCATACATGCTGGCCATCTGGCTTAGCGTTTGCATGTGTGGCATCTGTTAATAAATAATAAATAGCACGATCAATATGCCCTCACCCCCCCTCATACATTCACTCGTCATTCATTCATATGCAAAATTCCACGCAGTTTGATTTTATATATATACATACATACATACATATACATATGTATATATTCTTAGACCAGTTTAGTTCTATGCTTGTGTGTGTCCGTTTGCTTAGAGACTCCCAATCGTTTGGGTATATAAATGTGCCTAGTCAGGCCCTAACTGTTTAATTTGCTTTCATTTGTTTATAGAAGGCCCTCCCATAGGCTCACCTATACATATGTACATACTTCAGCACCCGATCTGCATGAAGTCATCGTCCACTTACACTTGATTTGCTCACTTTGCACTGTTCCAGGCCGGAAATGGATGATCATCCATTTGCCACCGGTCTTACACCCATGAGCACACAGACAGACATATCTATGTATGCATATCATACCATTATATAATTGACCGCATTTCAATGACCCCCATTTAACGAAATATCACTAGCATATATTAGTTGCTATCGTCGCAATCCATTGATAAGCTAACTCATTTGGCCATCTAATTAGCCGCTGCACAGTGGGTCAAATGTAATTAACGAAAAATCCCACTTCAATTTGAAAATGGGAAATCCAGAACATACAAATTTTATCAAAGTGTATTTTACAGGCAGGTGGCACACCCCATCAGATATCTACATATAAATATTCTTTATCTTGTCCGTCCGCCTGTGCATGCATTGATCGCAGAACCTACAGAAACTTAGGGTATGTGCTAGTCGGGCAGCCTTGGAGTTATCTCGAATAGAGAATACATTTTCATCTCTCACTCCCTCCCACTCTCCCCTCTCACTCAGTCTAGTTTCCGTTGATGCATTTGCACCACTGTGCCACATTATTTGATTAAATTGCTTTTATCAATCGATTAGCTTAACGATTTCACGAACTTCATATCAGCCCGAGAAGTTTTTGGAACCGAGCATAACATTCCATGCCCATTCCCATATCATGCTTTGATTGATGTACATGTATATACACATACATGTATGCACTTGTGTACTTGTGTTGGTTATTGCATACACAGTTCACTAATTGGTAATACTGTTTGCAGTTCGCACCCACGACTACGATTATCCCGAATCGGAAATGGATGAGCGAGAGAGTCTTTACTTTGATACGATCTCGCTGGCCGATTCGGAGGCAGCGGCAGCGGCGGCACATCGCAAGTCGCTATCGCAGTCCCGCAATACCATTTACCACTCGGCGGTGGATCTGGCCGGCGATGAGACGCGCAACAGTTTGAGGAACAGCGCCATCGTTACGGATCACATGAGGCTCGCTGGCTGGCAGCCGGGCTATCGACAGTCGACGGCGCTGGAGCATCTGAATGGTGATGCCGGTGCTGGTGCTGGTGCTGGTGCCGTTGGCGTTGACCATACGGACGCTGCCATTGCTGCCCAGCTGCTGGCATTGCAAAACGGACGCACACATCTGCCCACCGGCATTGGCGTCGCCGGTGGCTATGGCTATAGCCGAACGGGCGCTGGCGCTGGCGCGGGCAGCGGTGATGATGAGGTCTCTAGACGTCTTTTAAGGCAAAGTAGCACAGTTTCTAATAGAGATAAGAAATTGCCAATTACATACTCCCAGTGGAAATCGAGGGTAAACAACAATAAACTAAAAACCAAAACAAACAACACACAAAAACCAACAAACGATCAACGATTAAATAAGCAGCACAAGCAATGCAAATACTCTTGCCAATATGCCAATACATACATACATACAGACAAATATCATTAATAACAGTAATAGGCGCTACTCAATGGCGTGCACTCTATCCCTTTTTAGTTATGTACGCTGCAATTGTATATTGCTCTCTCGCTCTCGCTCTCTTTCTCTGTCACTCTCACTACGCTAATCGTTTGCATACGCTCGCACAAGTTTCATTTCTCAGCATTTCATGGCAGCAGCACACACACATCCATTCCAATTCCAAGTCGTTCCACTCTGTTTCCTGGTTAGCTGCGCACTGTGGTTCGTTTGGCTTTAAATGCATTTAACTAATAGAAAACTGTTTTTGACAGCATCTGCATACGTACATACATACATCGATACATACATATTTATGTACATGCATCACATATGCATCAATTCACACTGTATTCGCATTATTTTGTTTACTTGCTGTGGCTACGTTTCTCACCATTTTCTGTCTTTCTCTTTTTTTTCTCTCTTTTTTCAATAGTTTGCTTGCGGGAATGGGTAATGGCAATTTTTTAGCATAAATACCTCAATATGTATATATGTATGTATAACAATATATGTACATACATACATATATACATACGTATTCAAATATACCTTAGTATATAAATTGTACATAAGTTAAGTTTAAGCTCAGTTTTGATCAAACATAGGAGTCAGGAGCGTTGTCTGAAAAGATTTCATATTTTCCGAATATTTTCCAATGCGTGCGTTGGCTTAGTGCATGTATATGTGTGTATGTATGTGCATGACTCAGTATACGCACAACATTTATACGTACATATCATATCTCACTGTAATATTTGGCAAACATCTTAGCTTTCAGGATCGATTATCAGCTGTATTTACTTTGAGCTTGCTTTAAAAGGGGTATTTGTTTAATTTTAATATTTACTGATTATAAGAAAAAGGGAACCATAAAAGAACATATATGTTTATTGGGAGCCAATCACATTGCGAGTTTTATCAGCTTGCAATTCCATGAATAATTGATATGTAGAACTGCTATCCGAACAGAGTTAACGCGTATTTCTGTTGTGTTCCTGACTTTCGTATTTATAAATATCCGGTTCCAGATATTGAAATATTACGACAGACTGCAGTTAGTTAGACTTTTATGTTTGGCCAGATCGGTTCAGTTATTGAGCATGTTTTGCACGAATATATGCAAACCGTTCCACTCCTGCTATGAAACGGACATTTTACTAAATGATCTTGTATGCAGTTGATGCTTGGTCAGTTTTTTTTTTTTCTGAAGCGGCACTTGCACCTACAAGCGCTTATTTTGTGTACACCCGATTCCTGATATTATATATATGTATATATATAAATAAATAAATATATATATATATATATATATATATATATATATATATATATATATATATGTAATATATATAAATCCATCGAGCTGCGCTTTAATCTCTGTGAACCTCTCCCTTGACAGACGTATCGCAGCTTGAAGGATGGACGCAGCGTGGACTTTGTTCTGGCCTACAACGGCGACGATAGCGACACGGCGGCCAAAAAGCAGCGTGAAATCTTCGAGGAGAATCTAAAGCGCGAGGGCCTAGTGCTAGAGCCCTATGATCAGCAATGGGTGCACTTCACCAAAGTGCATGCACCGATGCCGGTGCTGGAGCGGTATGCGGAAGTGCTAAAGATCAAGATGCCAATGAAGGTTATACCGGGCCAGGAGCAAATCATCGCGGAGAGCCAGCGCGAACTGAAGACCTGCTGGAGTCGCATGTGCCGCAGACTGTTCAGTTCGGTGCAGCTAAACAATGAGGTGTTTCCCGAGCGCAGCCAACGCATCCACATGGAATTCGCACGTAAATACCTCGAGCTGTATGATAAGGAGCATCCCAACTACTTTGATGACAGCACACGGTATTCGATCATCAATTTCATAATGCAGCGACAGCACTTCGAGAAGGGCGACGAGACGGCCGAGAGTCTGGGCATCGAGAAGCTCATCGAGGATGGGGTCTACCTCTGCGCCTATGCGCTGCACGATGTAAGTAATCTGGTGGACATATATATATATATATATATATATATATATATATATATATATACAGTTGCGAAAAATAAAATAGCACCACTTGCAAACGCAAAGTTTAAGAAGTTCTCCTAGGTGCATTTATCAATGTATTGATCCAATTTTTTCTTGTATATAAGCAGAAAACAATTAATAATCGCAACAAGCAAGAATTATCCCAAAAATATTAATCGTTTTTATATAATTCAAAAAATTCTCAAAAAAGTCGTAAAAATGCCGAAAAAAATAATAGCACCACTAACCCTTTTCGAGTGAAAATCTATATTTTTCGCAGATTTGAATATCTTCAAAAGCACTAATTGATGAGATTTGTTGGTTATATATCTATTTTGATTAAAAAATTTTCAGAATTTGTGAAAATTTTCAAAAAAATGGGTCGTGAAGAGCATTACACCACCGAACAACCCAAACTCATCAAAAAGTTGATTTCGGCTCAAAATTTTCACAGGAAAGTTGGTCATTTGATGGGTTGTTCAAATAAAATGATCCACAATGCATTAATCCATAAAAAAAATTAATGAAAAGCGCGGATTGCGTTGAGTTCTGACCCAAAATCATGTCACTCGTCTCATTTACGAGAGTAAAAGAATCCTTTTAAGCCGGCTACTCAACTGAAAAAGGACCTAAACATATCAGCAATGGACCAAACAGTACGGAAATATTTAAGACATCTCGATTTGAACACTTTCCGTTCAAGAAAAGAACCATATTTGAATATAAAACACATTTCCAAACGGATGGCGTTTGCAAAAAAGCAGTCTCATACTAATACACTTGATCCGCTATGTTTAAGTGTTTTTTTGTATATCTAGGACCGAATTCTAAGTTCTGTGGATGTCTCACGTAGGACCGCGATCCTTTTCCACTAAAAATTAGCATCTTACTTTCATTATTCAAAAGTATGTTTCTTCATTCCTTCGTAGACCAATTTTTGTGTTTCCCTTGCAAACGCCATCCGTTTGGAAATGTGTTTTATATTCAAATATGGTTCTTTTCTTGAACGGAAAGTGTTCAAATCGAGATGTCTTAAATATTTCCGTACTGTTTGGTCCATTGCTGATATGTTTAGGTCCTTTTTCAGTTGAGTAGCCGGCTTAAAAGGATTCTTTTACTCTCGTAAATGAGACGAGTGACATGATTTTGGGTCAGAACTCAACGCAATCCGCGCTTTTCATTAATTTTTTTTATGGATTAATGCATTGTGGATCATTTTATTTGAACAACCCATCAAATGACCAACTTTCCTGTGAAAATTTTGAGCCGAAATCAACTTTTTGATGAGTTTGGGTTGTTCGGTGGTGTAATGCTCTTCACGACCCATTTTTTTGAAAATTTTCACAAATTCTGAAAATTTTTTAATCAAAATAGATATATAACCAACAAATCTCATCAATTAGTGCTTTTGAAGATATTCAAATCTGCGAAAAATATAGATTTTCACTCGAAAAGGGTTAGTGGTGCTATTATTTTTTTCGGCATTTTTACGACTTTTTTGAGAATTTTTTGAATTATATAAAAACGATTAATATTTTTGGGATAATTCTTGCTTGTTGCGATTATTAATTGTTTTCTGCTTATATACAAGAAAAAATTGGATCAATACATTGATAAATGCACCTAGGAGAACTTCTTAAACTTTGCGTTTGCAAGTGGTGCTATTTTATTTTTCGCAGCTGTATATATATATATATATATATATATATACATATATATACAGAGGTGGTCAAAAGTATTTACACACCGAACATTGGTATAATGGTTTTGTTAAATGTATGTAACAGGCAGAAGGAGGCGTGGCAGATCCCATAAAGTATATATATTCTTGAGCTGAGTCGATTTAGCTCTGTCCGTCTGTCCGTCCGTCCGTCTGTCCGTGTGTAAGAACGCGTCGATCTCATCAGATATAAGAGCTAGAGTCTTAAAATGTTGTTTTTTCCTAGCTATAAGCATATTTGCCTAACAGTTGTGTTTTCAAAATACTTTTGGCGTCGCCTGTATATATAATAAATATGGTGATTAATATTGTTAAATGATTAATATATTTCAGAAGGTCAAACGTGATGATCTGCTGAAGGAATGGGCGAGCCTACGTAATTGGAAGAAGTAAGCATAGATTTGGTTTGATTTGATTTGGCATTCATTAATCCTTCTCTCTCTCTCAGAATGCAGCCACTGGATCACATCAAGGACTACTTTGGGGCCAAGGTGGCGCTCTACTATGCCTGGCTGGGCTTCTATACGCAGATGCTGATACCGATTAGCGTGCTGGGCATACTCTTCTTTCTCTACGGCTTCGTGACGTGGAACAGTGATCCGATTAGCTATGACATATGCAAAGGCAACGAGACGATCATGTGCCCTCAGTGCGATCGTGGCTGCAAGTTCTGGCATCTGAACGAGACGTGCGCATCCTCGCGTTTCAACTATCTGATTGATAACAAAATGACGATGGTGTTCGCCTTTGTGTTGTCCATCTGGGCGGTGGCCTACTTGGAGCTGTGGAAGCGCTACTCGGCGGGTCTGGTGCATCGCTGGGGCCTCACCGGTTTCAATCATCATGTGGAGCATCCGCGTCCCCAGTACCTGGCCAAACTCCGCAAGTCCAAGAAGCTCAAGGACACACCGCTTGACACCAAAACCATGTTTGATCCGGATGTGCCCTTCTGGAGCTTCAAGTTTCTGCCCAACTTTACCAGCTACAGCATCGTGGTGTTGTTTGTATGTTCCCGAACTACCCATTGTCCATTGTCCATATCTATCTATATCTGTATGTATATGCGTTCGATTTGTTGGCAGATATGCATATCACTGATCGGCGTGGCGGCCATCATCATTTATCGGATGGCCCAGCGTGCCTCCAGCTCCATCATTGGCAACGAGGACTCAATGACGTACAAGATCATGGTGCTGCCAATAACGGCCGGTTTTCTCGATCTGCTTGTGATCTCGGTGCTGGATCTGGTCTACAGCAAGCTGGCGATTAGCCTAACCAATTACGAATATTGTCGCACACAAACCGAATACGACGAGAGTCTCACCATCAAGAACTATGTGTTCCAGTTCGTTAACTACTATTCATCGTTATTCTATATTGCATTTCTGAAGGGCAAATTCGTTGGCTATCCCTCCAAATACAATCGGATATTCAGTTTCCGGCAGGAGGAATGCAATCCCGGCGGCTGTCTCATGGAGCTCTGCATGCAGCTGGTGATCATAATGGGGGGCAAGCAGGCGGTGAATGCGGTTATCGAGATGCTCATACCATTTCTGATGCGTGTCTTCAATGAGCTGAGCCAACGCTACGATTTCCTCAAGCGCCACAACGAAAAGAAGGTGCCGTCTATCAATCAGTTTACCGAAGACTTTAATTTGCTGCCAGCCGAGGGCAATTCATTGTATGAGGAGTATCTGGAGATGGGTAGGATTGGCTAGATACGACAAACTCGAATCAAATGACTCTAATCACTTTCTCTCTCTCCCTCTCTCTCTCTCTCTCTCCCTTTCTCTCTCTCTCTCTCTCCCTCTCTCTCTCTCTCTGTCTCTCCCTTTCGCATCTATGCGCAGTGGTGCAGTATGGCTTCATCACGTTGTTTAGCTTGGCATTTCCCTTGGCGCCGCTATTGGCGCTGATCAATAACGTGATTGAGGTGCGTCTGGATGCCATCAAAATGCTGCGCTTCGTACGGCGTCCCGTGGGCATGCGAGCTCGCAACATTGGCGTCTGGCAAAACATTATGGCCGTCGTCACACACATCTCGGTCGCCTCGAGCGTGAGTAGTGAACTAAACGACAAACTCCCGAATGCACATACTAAATATTTATATTTATATATATATATATATATATATATATATATGCTTGCAGGCCATGATAATTGCATTTAGCACGAACTTTATACCGAAATTCGTTTACAAAGCCACCCACGATGATCCCGAGCTGGATGGCTATCTGAACTTTACGCTGGCCGCATTTTATACCAAGGACTACAAGACGCAATCGCTGCTGGATGCCAGCAATGCGGCCAACGTGACGCTCTGCCACTATATTGAGTTCCGCAACGATCCGTGGGTGGACCCACCCTACAAGCGGCCCATGATCTACTGGAAGATCCTGATGGCCCGCCTGGCCTTCATAGTCATCTATCAAGTGAGAGATTGTCCCTAAATACAGATTTGAATATCTAGTTTTTATTATATATGCTTTATTTCTGTATTATTTTTTTCATTATAGAATATCATCAGCATGCTGCAGGGCATTTTGCGCTGGGCTGTGCCCGACGTCTCGGCCCGCCTGCTGAAGCGCATCAAACGCGAAAACTTTCTGCTGCGCGAGCACATCATCGACTATGAGAAGAGTCAGGTCCAGGAGATAACGCAGCAGCAACAACTGCAGCAGCAACAGCAACAGCAGCAGCAACAGCAGCAACAGCAGCAACAGTCGCCGCGCCTGCGTCTCAATGGCAACAGCGACAATGCAACAACTTTTGTCTAAGACTCAATCATGCCCCAGTTTATTTTGTTTTTGTAGCGTCGATTCAA